TCTCGAGAATGGTCAAATGAATTTTTATAATCTTTTTTTTCTTTTATTCCTCGAAACGTTGCGCAACGTTGGATTACTTCCATTTTTGGATCGGTCAGCTGATCATTGACATATAACCCCGGCAACAAAACTTTTCAGCACCCCCACGTATATAACCACTTTATCTTTTTGTGCAAGCCGATAAAGCAGGTAGAAGCCGAAAAAGGTTTTTCCAATACCGGGATTGCCAGTGATACGTAGTCGCATTATGTTATCATCAAAGACGGTTTTTTCTAGGTCACGATAACACTCACGGACGAAAAGGATAGAAGGCCATACTAATTGCCCCAAAAAATAGATGTCTTTAGATAGTTGGAGAAACTTTTGGTCGTCATTAACTTCTACATCCTTTAAAGCCTGCCAAAAGGTACTCAGACTTTCATCCTCAATTTTCCTGCACTTGCTGAGAGGCTCTGTATAATTTAGTTGACAAATGAGAAAGGAGCGTAAGCTTGGGCAAATATAACATAGCACAGATGAAGGATATAGTTAACCTAGACCGCATTAACTAATTTTCGCTTACCGGTGGCAGCGAATAGCTCTACAATAATGTAAATTGTTTTTTGGACGGTGTTTGACGATAAGAAAGCAGGAACAAAAACACGAGTTAGTCAACGCCGAAAACAGGCAATCCACTCGAGTTAGAGGTTATAACGGTTTCCAGTATTATATTACAACCCATGCTTAATACTATGCTATGTACACACTACTCTATGTCCCCAACGCCCGAGTCACAAAGTCGTTACCTCTCCTCGACTCTTCTAATAAAATGGTTTCTTGTTTACGTAGTTCAGCAAGCGCAGCATCCAAAGCCGGAAGGCGAGTGAGAAACAGAAGCCGGTCTGAGTTACCAGCCGGAAGAGCTTCAATATCCTGTATTTTCCTCTCGGTCTCTCTAATTTTTTGTCGCACGGATTCGAGTTCGTCGCTCATCTTTTCTACAGTCTTGGGATGCTTGCTGCGCTCTAATAACTTCCCCAAGAGCAGCGGTACTTTTTTGCACTCATGTGACATTTTCGGTGACATCATTGCACTTTTGGCCAGTAAACGATAGCGTGCAAATCTCTTTTTTTGCTGTTACACGCTTATCGCTCTTTTGGACTAGCTTCTATTTACGTCTTTCCTAATAAAGATTCATGTTCTAAATCGAGAAAGCAGAACCGTTAGTTTTATTCAGGAAATTACTTGGGGTAAATATTTTTTGATGGACTTATAGTAAAAATGAATTGTAGCATTAATTTCAATTGAATTTTGTATAAATAAAATACTCTATTTCTCCTTCGAAGGCCTACACCTTGGCATTTTCCACGCCAACCCTCGTTCCTTAGCGGATTGAAACCATATTTATTATTGAGCGCTAACGGGATCGAAATCTTATATTCCTATTGGCTAATTTCCAATACTATTAACGTTAATGGTAAGTTTTGCGAAGCGTTATACATATACCGTCTTAATCTTTCTACTTTAGGTTCGAATTATGATATAACATTGTACAATTCCCTTTTACTACTGCTCGATTTAACACTACTCAATTATTATCCTGACTATTTTATGTTATAACAATAATAGTAATAGTCTTTATATAGGTAATAGTCGTAAGTAGAAAGATTAAGGTCGCTCTCAACAGCTCATCTCCCCCTACTGAAGGGGAGATACCAAATTTGGCTGATCTACGTTATAATGATACCGATTTAAGGCATTTTCACTTTTTGTAATTTTTTAATTATAACGATAAATAAATTAGATATTCACATGATATTGAGTTACGTCAATTTTCAAAAATGGAACTGGTCAAATCTAACTGCCGATTGACATGATGAGTACATTAAATAATTAACCCAAGCTTCGTTGATTTTTATGGCAATTTCATACACATTCACAGTTACTAAAAACTCAAGCCTTATCGACGGCATTGTTACCATGTGCAACATATGATGAAACAATAATAAGAGTGAGCCACCCCTCTTCTATGCTATCCTCTCTAACAATAAAATGTCTCCTCGACAATACAACAACAAGAACAAAATATGTCCACCTAAAGACATTTTTATTAGCCCTTTTATCAAATGTGCACTAGCAAGATATACCCAAGCTTTGGACAATATCTATGCGCCTTCTCTTTCAATATACTACGCTCTCGAAAGGCATTATAACAAGCCACGTCTTAGAATAAAGTATTAGTATTAGAGAGGCTTAAAAAATAATTACCGTACCTCTCTTCCAATAAACTTGCCCAAGGGCCAAACGATAATATCCCACTCAGCAGGACGATAAAGCTGAGTGGTGAAGAAAAAGGATGAAAGAGAACGCATTTTGGAAAGCCTTTTTACTCGCTGAGGGAAGAAGAAGAAAAACATCGAGGCAGGTTAATCATATACCTGCCAAGAAAAATATGGGCTTATACACGGCTGGCGGAAAGTTTCCCGGGGCGGCCGAGTGGAAGTGGAGATGGTTTTGGTTTAGTCGAAATTTATAGATATTATTATTATTGATAGTCCAACAACACGTCGAATGGATTATCAATATGGGACAATTTCTGGCAGTGTTCATCTTGTTCTTTTCGTTATTTTCTTTTACATACTGTTCCAGTAGATCATTCTTCTTCTATTTCTTATTCATGTATTTC